AGTTTGGATGTATGGATTTCCTTGGAAGCCATCTAAGCATTTGCAGCGGTAACCAGAATAGACCCCTTGAGCTCTTACTCCCATACACTTGCTGTTCATACTCACACAAGCATATCCAGATTTATTCCGTTGGGCCTCTGCGCAACTTAGATTAGCAACAACCCATTTCATAGAGAAAAATAACCCATATGTAGAGAAAAGACCGTTAGGCTCTGATAAAAACATGGAGTTTGCATATTTTTCGTCAAGAATGGTGCCATTAATGGTCCCTTCGTCAACATTTATGTCAATGACCTGTTTCACCCACAAGTCCAACATGACCACGGCAGCTGATGATGTCATATTTGTGCAGTTGAGGTGAAACTCTTCCCTGGCAAAGCAACCCTCTTCGAAGCCGAATGGGAATTGCACACTAATGTTACCGCACGAACGTATACAATTAGCCCTGCTCGGAATTGGATTATATCCTAATTTGGCAAGTAAAAGGTTAGCATGTATCAATAATGAGAATACATAACAACAGCTGTATATTTGGTCTTGATTAGGAAAAGAGAATTCACCTTTATCATTGGAGCAACCCTCTCGAATGTAGGGGTTGCCTGTATAGGCAGTCCTGCATTTGCAGCTGTAGCCATCGCTTCTGTCAATGCACTCGGCATCTTGGACGTCACAGTTAAACCTGCTATTGTCTATGCACTCAGCATACTCGCCAATACAGGCATAGCTTTTCCTTTTTTGCTTGGCAGCAACACAGTTGGATTGGTCAACTATCTGCCACCGTAGCCGAAAGCCACTCGGCCCATCACTAGTTATGCTGATTCTATCCCACAGTTGAGAGGTCTGGTTAGAGCGTGCATCAATGTTGCTTTTGCCATGGTTGTAGCCAAATTTGAACTGAAAACTGACGTTACCATCGCCATTAACACGACAGCATCCGAATGTATTTTTACAGTTGTGCATAGCCACCATCTCTGGGGTTCTTGGATCCAGACATTCAGTGCGGCATTTCAACGTGGTGGCATTGTCTACGACAGAGTATACCTCCACGTCACAGCTGGTAATGTTTAGAACAAAGGATGAAAGAGAGAAGGACCCCCCAGGTGGTTTCAAAGAATAGTTGTACACACTGACACCAGATTTCATGTGGATGGTATGCAAGAAGGAGGCATGGATAGTGTTATAAACAGAAAGAAGATTGTCGAATTCGATCACCTCAGTGATGCCGTCATGCAACAAGAGCCTGGGGGGCTGAGTGGTGTCGTCACAAGTGAGGTTGAAGTCAGGCCCATGGGAGCACCTGGATCCGATGCCGAACGGATAGGCGAAACTCAGGTTGCCGCAGCTCGTTGGGCAACCAACAAGTGTGCCACCGGCACGTGATGGTTGCGCCCAGTTCCCCTCAGGGCTCTGCTGGCTTGTTACAACTCCAGATGCTAGAGCCGTTGGCTGTCCTAAGAACCCAAGTACCAACAGATAGAACATCATCAGGAAGATGCCCATGATCGATCTACAGTTCTATACTACACCTTGCACTAGAGAAATTCAGGTCAGGAAGCAGTGGCTTCTCTTCAAGGTACCACTTTCATGACTGCCTCTCTAATGCATATATATATTTGAGCTTTACAGGTGAACCAAGGAAGATTGGAAGAGGATTTGTATGGACGTGGATGTGGTGTGTTTTGATGGCATGTGGAAGGAGAAGCCTTGTACATGCCCATGTGGATGTGGCAGTGGTGGTATATTCGATGTGATGCAAAAGTATAAAAGACCATCATTGTCAGCCCGTGACCTCGTAAGTCGTGCTGCAGGAAGACCTCAACAAGTCGGTCTACTAAAGGGGCTAATATATGCCTGTTCCTGATAAACCACGTTACAAAATTCGCTTGTGGATTTTCTGGGTTTCCAAATGTTTGCTCTAGACAAGAAAGGCATTACCAACATACTTCCTCCGTTCCTAAATATTTGTCTTTTTAGAGATTCCAAATGGACTACCATATATGGATGTATATAGACATATTTTAAAGTGTACATACACTCATTTTGTTTCGTATGTAGTCATTTGTTGAAATCTCTAGAAAGACAATTATTTAGAAACGGTGAGAGTAGAAAGAAAAAATATGAGCATTGCTACAAACATGAAAAAGGGAACCACACAAGAAACTTACCAACAGTAGGTAGGCCGTTCCATGCAAACTGCTGTGAATGCCATCTCTTGCTGGTCAACAACGGAAGATGGCAAGCATATCTTCAGTCCAACCGAGCTAGGTGACAATAACTGAAACCATCACCAACATTAAGAAGTAACACATTTTTTTAGGGGTAACAAAATATTTAGATAAGCTAACAAAGCTAAGCAACAGTAAATAAAGTCCATTACAATTAGATATTGGCTTGCTCAAGATGCAACCAAGAGCACAGGGTAAAAATTGTGATTTCTGGAGATAAACCACTGCAATGATTATGTACTCCCTCCGTCCGAAAATACTTGTCGGAAAAATAAATGTATCTAGACATATTTTAGTTTTAAATACATCAATTTTAATCCATTTTTGCGACAAATAATTCCGGACGGAGGAAGTACATGACTGTGTGAGTACAGACAAAGAATCATGTACATGACTGCAATGATTTCTGAATATATTCTAAGAATCTGGTGGGTCTGGTGTCTTGTGAGGGCAGTGTTCCAGTTCCAGTGTGGAAAAGGCTACACAGATAAAGTATGTAAGAATCTTGAGTGCAAAGAAGACTTGAGCGCAAAGCTGATGTGGCATGTCGCATCACGGTGCACCGTGTAGGAGATAGTGGTTTCCCACCATTGTCGTTTGCTTATGCTGCAACCAAGGAGCACAGCCATGGTAAAAATTCTGACAGTTAGTGATGTGCCCATTTAACTACTGGAGGGCACAAAATAAAAAGTGCGACTGCTGGAAATAAACTGCAGACACAGAATCATGTACTCCCTTTGTAAACAAATATTTGTTTACAGAGGGAGTACATCACAACCAAGTGAATCACGACATAAAAACCTCTAACCACTGAAATGAATTGATAGATTCGGAAGCAAGCAAACAGTAACTCCAATTTACAGATAAGCTACCTGAGCTAAGTAACAGTAACTGAACTTCATCCCCATTTTTAGCTGGTGTTTGCTTAAGCTGCAACCGTGAGCAGAGAGTAAAAACTATGATTGCTCGAGATAAACTTCAGAAACAAAATGTGCTGGTGTAAGTCAGTTCCTGACGATGATGATGATGACTCTAGTACATGCCATGTGGATATGTACCTGGACGTTGCAGTGTTGTACTTGATACAATGTGAAGGTGATGACCATGACACGTGCCGCAGGAAGACCCCAGCAAGTTAGTCCACTAAAGGGGCTAGTCCAAGTCTGTTGCTGACAAACCACGTTACACATGTCGCTCGTGGATTTCCAATGGTTTGCTCTACACAAGAAAGGCATTACCAATATAGAGATGAGACCAAAGTTCATGCCAAACAAACATAGGAAATTACAGAATGAAAATGGGAACCACACAAGAAACTCACAAGTAGTAGGTACTAGGTAGGTGATCAGGACGTCACGGAATCGTACCATGCAACCTGTTGTGATGTAACACCCCAGGGAGAGAGAGAGAGGGAGAGGATCCAGATCGAGCCGAGGAGAGGGGGAAGGCTTGGAGAGGAAGAAGGAGGGGATGGATTGCAGAGGAAGGATTCAGAGTGCAGAGTATCAATACACGCGTGAACGACCACGGCCACAGGCGGTCATCTTAACATTACCCACGCACGCCACTTGTCTGGCCAGCTGGCTGGGCCCACCAGCCAGCTCTTAGACGCACTAACCACAGGTTAGGTGTGACATTCCTCCCTCCTTAAGACGCGCCTTGATCTTCTTCGTCAGTGTCCTGTTTGTCCTGCGCCTCCGCCCAGAGTGATGCCGTCGGAAAACGGTTGCGCAGCACGTGGTGATCCTCCCATGTCGTCGGTGCGGAGTCGCCGGTGCCCCACTGAACTTTGAGCTGCACCACCGGCGCGTCGCCGTGCTTCATCATACGTCTGTCCAGGATGCGGGTCGGCGTGAGGTTGTCGACGGAGAGGTCCGACGCCTTGGGAAGTTCACCGTACACCGGCGTATAGTCGGGGGTGAAGGGCTTCAGCTGCGACACGTGAAAGACAGGGTGGACTTGGCTGTCTGGCGGCATGTCGAGCTTGTAAGCGAGTGCCCCAATCTTCTCGATGATCTTGAAGGGGCCGAAGTACTTGAAGGCGAGCTTGGCGCAGGGGCGATTGACCACCGAACGCTGCGCATACGGCTGTAGCTTAAGCAGCACCTGTTCGCCCGTCTGAAAGTGTCACTCGGTGCGGTTGCGGTCGGCGTTCTTCTTGAACCGGTGCTGTGCGCGCTCCAGCTGTGCGCGGATGTGCACAGTGTGCGCCGCCCAGTCCATCTCTCGTCGGCCAGTGGCGACTCCGCCCAGGAAGCCATGGCGCCGAGATTTGCTTCCGTGCCGTAGAGGGCCTTGAAGGGGGTGCCATTGAGTGACGCATGGAAGGTTGAATTGTACCAGAACTCCGCCATTGGCAGCCACCGGCGCCATTGGTGCGGCGAGTCGTGGACTGTGCATCGGAGGTACATCTCCATGCATTGATTCACCCGTTCGCTCTGGCCGTCAGTCTGGGGGTGATAGGCTGTCGAGTACAGCAGTTTGGTGCCGGCGCCCGCAAGCAACTCTCGCCAGAGGTGGCTTGTGAAGATCTTGTCGCGATCGGAGATGATGGACGCCGGAATGCCGTGTAGCTTCACCACGTTCTCCCAGAGTGCTCGCGCCACCTGCTTGGCGTTGAAGGGGTGGCGGAGAGGAACAAAGTGGGCGAACTTGGTGAAGCAGTCGACAATCACCATGATCGTGTCATATCCTTCTGAGCGCGGCAAGACCTCCACAAAGTCCATGGTCAGCTCCTGCCATGGCGCCGTTGGAATGGGCAGCGGGGCGAGGAGACCCGCCGGCTTGACGTGCTCGTGTTTGGCCTGTTGACACACGGTGCACTGCTGCACGAACTCGGCGATGTCGCGCTTGAGGCCGCGCCAGTCGAATTGTTTGCGCACGCGCTGGTAGGTGGCAGTGGAGCCGGCGTGACCACCCACCGCACTGTAGTGCAGTGCGGCGATGAGCTTGGTGCACAGGGCCGAATTGGCCCCGATCCAGAGACGCCCTTGGCGCCTGATGATGCCGCGGTAGAGCTCGTAGCCTTGGTCGTCCGGGCTGTGGATCGCCAGTTGCTGCAACCGTTCCTAGGCATCGGCGTCAGTGGCATAGGAGTTGGACACCTCCTGCACCCAATCCGGCTGGCACGTGGAGAGCGCGGCCAGCTCGAATTGTTTGCCCACGCGCGAGAGTGCGTCAGCTGCGCCGTTGTCCAGCCCTCTTCTGTACTAGAAGCGAAATTGTAACCCCACCAGCTTCGCCATGGCCTTGCGCTGGAGCTTGGTCTCCAGGTGTTGTTCTCCCAGGTTCCAGAGAGACTTGTGATCTGTGATGATGTCGAAGGGGACGCGCTGCAATTACTGACGCCACTTGTCCACAACCATCATCACGGCGAGGAATTCCTTCTCGTAGGTTGAGAGCTTCTGGTTGCGAACTCCCAGAGCCTTGCTGAAGTACGCAACAGGGTGCCCATCCTGAGCGAGCACCGCGCCCATGCCCGTGTCGCAGGCATCCGTCTCGATCGTGAACGGCCGCGCAAAATCTGGCAGAGCCAGGACAGGTGTGGTGACCATCGCCTGCTTGAGCATCTCGAACGCTGCTTGTGCTTGTGCCGTCCAAGAGAAGCCCTTCTTCGTCAGCAACTGAGTGAGTGGCTTCGCAATGATGCCATAGTGCGGGACGAACTTTCTGTAGTAGCCCGTGAGGCCGAGGAAGCTGCGCAGCTCTATGGCATTCGTCGGCGTCGGCCACTGCTCCATGGCCTGTGTCTTCTCCTTGTCCGTGGCCACGCCCTCCTTGGAGATCACATGACCCAGGTAGTCGATGTGGTCCGTAGCGAATGTGCACTTGGATTCCTTGATGAAGAGCTGGTGCGCCCAGAGCAACTCGAAAACGATGCGCAGGTGCTCCAAGTGCTCCTTCATGGTCTCACCGAAGACAAGAATATCGTCAAGGAAGATGATGACGAACTTGCGGACATACTTACCGAACACGGAGTTCATCAAGCACTGAAATGTGGCCGGCGCGTTCGTCAGGCCGAACGGCATGACTCTGAACTGAAAGTGCCCGTGGTGCGTCTTGAACGCCGTCTTGGGCTCGTCCTCCTCCCGCATTCTGATCTGGTGGTAACCGGCGCGCAAGTCGAGCTTGGAGAACACTGCTGCGCCGGCCAATTCATCCAGGAGTTCGTCGATGATGGGGAGGGGAAACTTGTTCTTAATAGTGGCGTCGTTGAGCCGGCGATAGTCGACGCAGAACCGCCATGTGCCGTCCTTCTTCTTCACGAGCAGCACC